TATTATTACACACATTACCATAGCTGTCACATGCGCAGTATGTTACGTGAATCATTATGTTTGAATGCCTTTATGTAATATTCGTTCTTATGTTGACATTAACATAAGAAAGTAAAAAAGAAAAAGGTTATTCTGAACTCGAACAAAATTATTACATATTCAAACGAACTGACTGTTTAAAGCGACCAGAGCCAACTCCAGCAACTACGAAGCACTTTCACTGACGAACGTGCCTTCCTTCACAGTTACTCCTCCGTCATCTATGAAGGAAAGGAAATCATTTGTTTTGCCTGCACGACTTGGCTCGCTTAATTTCGGCCTGGTTCGACTTCACTCGGCTTTGTTCGACTTCACCCGGCTTTGCTCGGCATGACTGTGCACGGGGTTGAGTCGGGTCGGGCTGGGTCGGTAAACGTCGACATAGCTCGGCAGAAATCGTACTCTCCAGTGTGACCACCATTTCGGGAATCCGGGTTCGGCTCTTTGCTCGTCCACTCGGTTAGCTCAAATCTTATCACTATAGGAAAGTGGTATCTCTAGATTCGTGATTTGTTCTAAAACGTGTGACCTTTTCCGCTGCTTATTGTTTTTTACAACATTCGAGGATAAAAAGTCTTTGAAATTCACAATACCATCAATGGGATACTACAAATTATGTTTGTGATAAAAATACATGTACATATTATACACAATCTCTGAACCTAGGTTTTAAAAACACAAAAAACAACACCAACAAACAAACAAACAAACTGACAACAACAATCAAAGACACACATAGACACATACACAAATGAAACAATGACGTCTGTCTGTGTTATGCTTCTGCACACCACTTCGACTTCACTAGACTCACGACACACAACGACCTACTCCTTCGCAAGGTCGCCTTGAAGGTGACTTTCGTTTCTTCTTCATTTTTAGGAATTTCGAAAGTTTGATCGGGTGCAAAGTGTTCGGTCTGTGACTTCCTCGGTTAGAGATTGTGTACCACTGAAATGCGATGAACAATGACGAGTATGTATACATGTCTATATATAATCATATTATCTTGGCTACCTCCATACTGCACGCACACACCGATCAGCAACATCGGACGAACAGCAAGATAATCATTTTAGAAAATAGAATGTTCTCAATAAACTACTCTCTCAACTCAGTCAAATAAAAACTGACCATTGGTCGCTTTTGAGGACAGGCAGGCTAACCCAGATTTCGAGTGTTTCTGGAAATCTTGAACTCCACCAAAAGTGGGTATTGTAGGAGAAGTTTGGGCTCTTTGGTTTGTATATTTGTTTGGTTATAGAGAAACATCTCCTTGTCTTCTTAAAGAAACTTAACACGGGTCCAACAACTTTACTTTTAATTTTTCTCAAAACAGCGTTTTTCTGGATAGCCCCCTTGTGCTTAAAAGCGACCAATTTGAAACACCCCTGTCTGTTCTCTGTGGGCGGGTTAGTAGTTAACTTCACTGGATTCAATGCACGATGTGCAAATCTCATGATTCCTCTTTGACGTTGATCGCCCGCTGTTGCTCGTCGCGTTGCACTCAACATGGCACTGGCCTTACATGAATGCTGCGAATTACAGGAATACACTACAACAATGTAGCTCTCGTTAGAAACATTCCGTTACTGCCAAGGTATGCTGGGTGTTAAAAAAAATGACACATACATCAATCCTTTACAACTTCTTGAACTCAGAAAAGCACTCGAGGAATTGCCAGGTAATCCACGTGGTTCAAGACCTTAGCTGTTTGGAGCAGCTTTCTCTGCTTTGTAATATTCTGTATCATAATTATTTGAAGTGCTGCTTTTGGTGTGGTTTTTAAAAATGGTGTATCAATAAAGAAACAGCGATACGTATCTCATAAGAAGCTAATTTGTTTTCTTAATCCTAACAGTTTGGAGTTGTGAGGATATTTGTAAAAATTTTAAGTAATATCGATTTGTAGTTTGATTCTAGGATTGCAACGAGATAGCAATATTATCATTTTGTTTCTTCCTTCGAAAACACGTTTATTTTTACATCGAGTATAAGTCGTTGAAAAA